GATCAAGCCCCACATTGGGCTCCATGCTCAGCAGGGAGTCTGCTTGAGATTCCCCCCCCCCCTCCCCCCCCCCCCCCAACTCGCATGCTCTTTACCCCCCCCCCAAAACTAAAAATATTTTAAATCTGGTTCTTTACTAAAGATACCTGAGAAACTTTGGCCAAGACAATGCATGTACTTCTTTACTTCCTCTCTGGGGAGCAACAGTAAATAAATCCCCCTGGAGAAACGGACTAAAGTATGTTTGATCCAGTCTTTTAAAAAATATTTTATGGGACGCCTGGGTGGCTCAGTTGGTTAAGCAGCTGCCTTCGGTTCAGGTCATGATCCTAGCATCCTGGGATCGAGTCCCACATCGGGCTCCTTGCTCTGCGGGGAGCCTGCTTCTCCCTCTGCCTCTGCCTGCCATTCTGTCTGCCTGTGCTCACTCTCTCTCCCTCTCTCTGACAAATAAATAAAATCTTTAAAAAAAAATATTTTATGCCACTAAGTGTTGTGGTGATTTGATACACAGTAAAATACAATACAGCAGGATTACTCTGAGATAGGAAAGAGAAAATTGTAATAGGCTTCAGGTGGAAGATGTCTAGGATGTCTGAGCCATAATGGGATGACTAGGGTGGCTTCAGCAAAGCGGGGCAGGGTCAGGAGATGTGGCCAGAAAGGTAAGAAGGTAAAATCACATAAGGACTTCGAGGCCACTGCAAGGATGCTGGCTCCTTTATTCTGCATGACAGTAAAGCTACTGGAGGGATTTTTTTTTTTTTTTTAAGGGTTTATTTATTAGAGAGTGAGCGCAAGCATGGCATAGGTAGGGGAAAGAGAGAATCGGAGGGAGAGAAACTCAAGCAGATTCCCCACTGAACAGGGAGTCTGATGTGGGGATTTTTTTTTTTTTTTAAGATTTTATTTATTTACTTGAGAGAGAGAGAGAGCATGAGAGGGGTGTGGATCAGAGGGAAAAGCAGACTCCCTGCTGAGCAGGGGCCCCATTCAGGACTTGATCCCGGGACTCCAGGATCATGACCTGAGCTGAAGGCAGTCACTTAACCAACTGAGCCACCCAGGCACCCCTGATGTAGGGATTTGATCCCACAATCCTGAGACCATGACCTGAGCCACAGGCAGATGTCAGGTGTCTGAGCCACCCAGGTGTCCCTGGAGGGATTTTTTTTTAATTGAGGTATAATTACACACAACATTACAATAGTTTCATATGTATAACACAATGATTGGATATTTGTATATATAGTTGATCCTTGCTTGAACAACATGGGTTTGAACTGCATGGGTCCACCTACACACAGGTTTTTTTTGTTTTTTTTGTTTTTTTTTTTAAGTAAATACAACACTGTAAATGATTTTAGTAACATTTGTTTTCCAGCTTTATTGTAAGAATATATAATACATACAAAATATGTGTTTTTAAAAAACTTTTAAAATTTATTTATTGACAGCGAGAAAGAGCATAAGCACGGGGAATGGCAGGGAGAGGGAGAAGCAGGCTCCCTGCTGAGCAAAGAGCCCAACGTGGGGCTTGATCTCAGGACCCTAGAACCACGACCTGAGTTGAAGGTGGACACCCAACTTACTGAGCCACTCAGGCACCCCTAAAATATGTGTTAATTGACTTATTATATTATCAGGCTTCTGGGCAATCATAGGCTAATAGTAATTTTGGGGGAGTCAAAAGTTACAAGGTTTTCAACTGAGCACAAGGTGTGGGGGTGGACTGGCACCCCACCCCCCATGCTGTTCAAGAGTCAACTGTATTAAATGATAACATAAGTCTAGTTAACATGTCACCGTATATAGTGACAGAATTTTGTTTTCTTGTGATGAGAACTTTAAGAAAATTATTTAAATTCTATTTAGTTAACATACTGTGCAACACTGATTTCAGAAGTAGAATTCAGTGATTCATCACTTACATGCAACACCCAATGCTTGTCACAACAAGTGCCTGCTCTAATACTCATCCCCCATTTAGCCATCCCCCACTCACCTCCCTCCATCACCTCTCAGTTTGTTCTCCATCCTTAAGAGTCTCTTATGGTTGGTTTCCCTTTTTTCCCCTCCCACATGGTCATCTGTTTTGCTTCTTAAATTCCACGTATAAGTGAAATCATTTGATATTTGTCTTTCTCTGACTTACTTCACTTAGCATAATATACGCTAGCTCCATGCACTTCCTTGCAAATGGTTAAGATTTCACTCTTTTTGATGGCTGAGTAAAATGCCATTGTGTGTATATGTACACACACACACACACACACACACACACCACTTTTAAAGAAATTTTTTAAAGATTTTATTTGTCAGAGAGAGTGAGCACAGGCAGACAGAGTGGCAGGCAGAGGGAGAAGCAGGCTCTCTGCTGAGCAAGGAGCCTGATGTGGGACTTGATCCCAGGATGCTGGAATCATGACCTGAGCCGAAGGCAGCCGCTTAACCAACTGAGCCACCCAGGCGTCCCTAAAGAAATTTTGTAAAAGATTTTATTTATTTTAAGAGAGACTGAGTGAGAGAGCACAAACAGTGGGAGAGGGAGAAGCAGACTCCCTGCTGAGCATCCCAACTCAGGGCTCCATCCCAGGACCTTGGAATCATCACCTGAGTCAAAGACAGTTGCTTAACCAACTGAGCCACCCAGGTGCCCCAATATACCACATCTTTTTTTTTCTTTTCGCTTTTTTTCTTTTTTAAAGATTTTATTTATTTGTCAGAGTGAGCACAAGCAGGGGGAGCAGTAGGCAGAGGGAGAAGCAGGCTCCCTGATGAGCAAGCAGGACTGATGCAGGACTCGATCCCAAGACCCTGGGATCATGAACCCAGCAGAAGGCAGATGCTCAACCGACTGAGCCACCAAAACATCCCCATACTACATCTTCTTACGGACACTGGGGTTCTCTCCAAAGTTTGGCTATTGTTGATAATGCTGCTATAAACACTGATGTGCATGTACCCATTCAAATTAGTATGTTTGTATCCTTTGGGTAAATATCTAATAGTGAGTATAATTGCCCGATCGTAGGGTAGCTCTATTTTTAACTTTTTGAGGAATCTCCACACTGTTTTCCAGAGTGGCAGCAACCCGATCCCATTCTCACCAACAGTGCGAGAGGGCTCCCCTTTGTCCACATCCTCGCTAACACCTGTTCACTCTTGTGTTGTTAATCTTACCCATTCTGACAGATTTGAGGTGGTATCTGATGAGTTATTAAGATTTACTCTTAGCAACTTTCAAATATGCAATACAGTATTATCTACAGTTGTCATGCTGTATCCCATGACTTATTTCGTAACTAGAAGTTTGTACCTTTTGAACTCCTTCATCCATTTCACCTACTCCCTACCCTCCCCTTCTGGCAACTACCAATCTGTTCTCTGTATCTATGAGCATGATTTCTTGTTCGTTTGTTTTTGGATTCCAATATAAATGATATCATATGGTATTTGCCTTACTCTGACTTACTTCACTTAGCATAATGCTCTCAAGGTCCATCCATGTTGTCACAAATGGCAAGAATTTCTTCTTTTTTTATGGTTGAATAATTGTGTGTATACACACACATGCACTCACACATATATATGTATATTTTATGTACACTTATATACATAATATATATACACAGCACATTATTTTTCCCTTTCATCTGTCAATGAACACTTAAAGATTGTTTCTATATCTTGGCTACTGTAAATAATGCTGCAGGAAACATTGAGGTGCATATAGCTTTTTGCTGTTAGTATTTTCAGTTTCCTTCAGATAAGTACCCAGATATGGAATTACTGGATCATATGGTAGTTCTATTTTTAATTTCTTGAGGAATCTCCATACTGTTTTCCATAGTGCCTGCACCAATTTACCTTCCCACCAACAGTGTGCACAAAGGTTCCTTTTCTTCCACATCCTTCCCAACACTTTTTTTTCTTGTCCTTTTGATACTAGCCATTCTAACAAGTGTGAGGTGATATCTCTTTGTGGTTCTGACTTGCATTTCCCTGATGATTAGTGATCTTGGGCATCTTTTCATGTATCTGTTGGCCATCTGTATGTCTTCTTTGGAAAAATATCTATTTAGGTCCTCTGTCCATTTTTTAATCAGACTGTTTTTCTGCTATTGAGTTGTACTGAGTTCTTTAATGTTTTGTATAGTAACCCCTTATTAGATATAGAATTTGCAAATATCTACTCCCAGTCAGTGCACTGCATTTTCATTTTTGTTGATAGTTTCCTTTGCTGTCCAGAAAGCTTTTAGTTTGATGTAGTTCTACTTATTTTTGCTTTTGTTGCCTTTCCTTTTGGTGTCAGATCCAGAGAGTCATTGCCAGGACCTTTGTCAAGAAGATTACTGTTTTTTTTTTTTTTTAAGATTTTATTTATTTATTTGACAGAGAAATCATAAGTAGGCAGAGAGGCAAGCGGGAGCAGTGGCGGGTGGGGGGGGGCGGAAGCAGGCTCCCCTTTGAGCAGAGAGCCCGATGCGGGGCTCCATCCCAGGACCCTGAGATCATGACCCGAGCTGAAGGCAGTGGCTTAACCCACTGAGCCACCCAGGTGCCCCTCTTCTAGGATTTTTAAGACTTCAAGTCTGAGGTTCAAGTTTTTCTTTCTTTCTTTCTTTTTTTTTTTAATTATCTAAGACCTTTATTAACTGGTGCTTGCCATTTGTTGACTGTTTAAAAATCAAATTGTAAATCTTTATTACAAATTAAAAATAAGATTCTTAAAAATCTCAACGTGACCAGTTATGAGACAATTTAAAAATCTTTAAAGATGTATTGAGAAAAACCAGGTTTTTTTTTTTAAGACTTTTTCATTTCCAAAAAGAGACGTCTTTAGGTAAAAATAATAAAAGCCCCATGCTGCATAGATAATGCAGACAGTGCTATTTATCTGATCAGTGGGCAAAAAGCAAGCACTTAAGGTCTTCAAGTCCAAACTTTTGTTCATTTTGTATTGCTAGAATTTCATATTCATTTCTTCTTGTTGATGGTGTAGAGATGGTAAGCTGGCATTTAGTCAGAGCTGCCCTGCTCAGCCTAGGAAGTGGATGAATCCTCAGCTGGTGGACTCGCTGCTTTTGTCTCTTTGCCATCTTGTGGTTTAGGGTTTTCTGGGTATCTGCGATGGTGCGAACGTTGAGGTGGCTGCTGACCTTGGATCTCATCTTCTTGATTTTCCTTAGCTTTTTCATTGCTCTCCTCTCTAGGCTGTCTTTGGTGAGGAGGACCCCTGCAGAATCGTGGTGTATAATCCGGATGCATATTCTGTCTCACTGGTCTACCTTGTTCTCCTGCCTTCTGGGTGTCAGCACCTTCCATCATCTCTCCCTGCACAGGAGGGTTGGAAGACTGTGGTCCATGGCCATGGAGGCTCTGCATGTAGTAAGGGGGGAACCCTCACCTGTGGGAAGGCAGCACTGTTAGGCCTGGCCTTCAGGAGCAGGCTCCAATCCTTCTGTCCTTTTCCCCACTCACTATTCTGGTAACTGTGCTGGGAGTTGTGATGTGGAGGACCCCTGTGATGTGGGTAGCACGTATAATGGTTACGGTCTGCCGCATATCCACTGCTGTACACTAGAGATCCACCAGGCCCTGTCACATTTATGCCTCTGAAACCTTTTCTCATTCATCAAACTCCACGGTCTCTCCATCTCCTACATTGTGAAGGTACTTCCGGGGTTATTCTTTATGGTAGTCTGACACACAAACACATCTTCCTTGGTGTTATTCCTGTTGATGAAACTATACCAGTTTCTTACATTGAACCATTTACTGTTCCCACAACCTTCCTTGCGATGATCTTGTCCCCGCTGGCAGGCGCCAGCTATGTGAAGCCACTTCAGTGGTGTAGGGCTTGGTGTCTGCGACGCTGAGGGTGGGGGTGGCGGTTGGCTGCTCGTGGTTGCAGTGATGGTGACTGGGGCCAGCTGTAGCTCCTCCCAGGGTGTGAAGAAGGCCACTGGAGGCAGTGAAGCTGCTTGGGGCTCTCTGGGGTCCTCTTTCCACTCCCCTTTGGAACTCTAGATTCAAGTCTTTAATCCATTTTAAGTGTAAGTGGTATAAGATAGTGGTCTGGATTCATTCCAGGTAGAGGGACAAAGTTGGCCCAAGACGACCACATCTAGTACCACAGCTGGGACTGGCATCAATTTCTTTTTCTTTCTTTTTTAAAAGATTCTGTCAGTCTGTTTATCTATCTTAGACAAAACATGCATTCTTGAGCGGGGAGGGGTAAGGGGAGGGAGAAGGACAGGGGGAGAGGGAGAGAGAAAGAATTTCAAGCAGACTCCGAGCAGAACATGGAGCCGGATGTGGAGCTTCACTCCACAGCCCCAAGATCATGGCCTGAGCAGAAACTAAGCCTTGGACGCTTTGTCCATTGAGCCACCCAGGTGCCCCCTGGCATCAGTTTCTAATTAAATTTGTGCTATGTGAGTAATACTTTCTTAAGTCTCTAATGGTAGTACTAATCTCTATAATTTTCCTAGGAAAGCAATATTTTTGAATTATTATGTGGGGGTACTCTTTCTCAACTGGGGTTCCTTGCCTGAACGATAAGATACAGAAAACTATTGAAATGACACTTTTTTAAATTCTCCCAAGGATGGTACATAACTAGCATAGGAGAGAAGTTAGTTCATTACATATACTAAATGCATGAGCAATAGGGCATAATTCTCTTGTTAAACCCTGCCTGAGAAAGGCTGAGGGAGTAGTTACTTACGGTTTGCATAATTGACATCTTAGATTGGTGTTCTTCAGGCTATTTTTAAATAAAGCCTTCCTGCCCATTTTTATTCCTTTCCTTGGAACACTGTTAAATAACAAATTCAGGTTGGGGAAAAGATCTGGAGGGAGGTGTCAAACTACTCCTGTGCGGTCTTTTATCCAGTCCCCTTGTCCTACCCTACACCTTTAATTCCTGAGCTCTTCTGGGCTTGTGTGACATGAGTCAGTCTCCTGCAAGGGCAGATGGGGGGAAAGGTAAGGCCTAAGATGCTGGTAATTATCTACTCCTCCCCATCTTACAAAATTTCATTAACACTGCCTGACTGCTACAGTTGTCTCTTCTAGTCTTTGTTCCAGGGTTTATGCCTTTTTTATTCCTTTATTCTCATTTTGTGAGGATTTAGAAGGGACAAATGATAAACAAATGGGATCAAAGTGATCTATTAAACAAGAATATAGCTTTATGTGAAAAAACTTGCAAAGTCTTATTTAAAATGGTGAAACACACATTACATTATTCAAATTCTAACCTAAACAGTATGTACTAGAATCATCCATTCATGAAAATTTAATATGGTAACAAACAGCTGACTCCATTTTATGATATTTGATTGCTGATAGCTTTGAAGTCTCACTCTTCCCTTTGTGCCCTGCATCTGGGCAAGCTGTTAAAGCCCAGGAGGGGCACCTGGGTGGCTCAGTGAGTTAAAGCCTCTGCCTTTGCCTCAGGTCATGATCTCAGGGTCCTGGGATTGAGCCTCATATCGGGCTCTCTGCTCAGTTGGGAGCCTGCTTCTCCCCCCCTCTCTCTCTGCCTGCTTCTCTGCCTACTTGTGATCTCTGTCTGTAAATAAATAAAATCTTTTAAAAAAAAAGCCCAGGAGACTGAGACCTTGCAAGCCCCTCCCTGTGCACAAGAACCCTCACCCCACCCCCACTCTCAACCACAATGAAAAACTCCAAGCCAGTTTCCTTTTCCTTTTCTCTCAAGCAATTTTGGGCTAATATGGGAAGTCTGCCCTGTTTGCCTCAGAGAGCTGTATTATATAGTAAAATGAATTTTGTATACTCCTAGTGTCTCTGTGTGTGACATCATCAGTCTTGGTTATCTGAGCTAAATTTGGTGTGTGGAGGAGGTCCATCTTATTTCTGCAAGGGACACAATTGGTATTGGAAGCAGGATGTATAGAGGAGGACCCCTACCCCTGGCTGAGGGACTTTTTTCTCTTGCTTCAGTTTTCTTTGTGGCTTGGTGCTACATTTGCTGAGTTCTACCAAACCTCTGTTATAGACTGAACCAATTCAAGGTGGAAGTTTCAGTAACTGGTGTTTAGGGAGAGGTGTATGGGATGGGGCCCTCTAGGCTGTCTTGAGTCATATCTCAGCTCAAACCAGTCTTATGTGTCTTACATTGAGTTGCGTGTTGTGATTCAGTCCTAAGCCATGACTGACGCTAGATTCAGGAAAGACTCATCCTGTGATTGACTGGCTGTGTGTCTCAATCAGATTATAGCCCGTATTCTACAGAGGGGCTTAGACTTGCAGCTTCTACAGTACATAGGCCCACTGGGTGATCATTTGTGTGTGGAAGAATAGCAGGCATTATTTGAAGAGTTGAATTACTCAGATTTATTCTAAAGGCACACGGCTTGATAGGACCCTACAAAATTCTTCTATAGCTTCTGCTGCCTATTTCTCTGACCCCGGAATGATCTTGATCCTCAAAAACACCCATGGAATACCTGTGGTACAGCCAAGGCATTCGCTGAACCACTGTCATGGGGAAGAGCCCTAATCCTGATGATACTGATTTGAGTCTCTGAAAGAAGGAATTTATAAATATGAGGAGTGTAGAGAAGACCTCCTTGAAATACATCTAGTAATCACCACCAGTAAGTAGCAGGAGAAAAGAAAAAGAAACCTGGATACAGGGGGAGTGCATTGGTTTGTTAGGGTGGCTATAATAAAATGCCATAGACTGAGCAGCTTGGACAACAGAAATCTATTTTCCCATAGTTCCAGAGGCTAGAAGTCCAAGATTAAGGTGCCATCAGAGTTGTTTCTTGTGAGAACTCTCTTCCTGGCTTGTAGATGGCCTTTTCTCTGTATGTGGGAGGAAGAGAAAGAGAAATAGATCCCTGGTTTCTCTCCCTCTTCTTAAAAGGACACCAGTCTTATCAGGTTAGGGCCCCACTCTTATGACCTCATTTAATCTTAATTACTTCCTTAAAGGCCCCATTTTCAAATAGTCACTTTGGGGCTTAGGGGTTCAATGTGTGAGGTGGGGGGGGCAATTCAGTCTACAATAAGGAGGAAACAAAAACTAAAAACAAAAGTACACTATTAGACCCAGGTAGTAACCTGAAATTTACTAAAAGAATTCATACAACACAAAGATAAAAGGGCACGGACTGGCTTTGTGCTTCTATAATATTGGTTTTGAATTAATTTAAAATCTGCTGAAGTATACCAATTGCCAAACTTTCATGGGTTTATACAGGGCTCAAATTGTGGTCGTACTTGGGATATCAGTAAGCTTAAACAAAGTGCCACCTATAATATTGGGGGAACTACTGAACATGATGAGAGGATAAACAGGTACGCCTCACCTTAACCACAGGCACTACTCTTGCCAAATTGCTCATGGTTGCAGTAGCCATCTCCTAAAATATCCCATAGTGGTCATGGACTCTCTGACTGGATGAGTAATAAAATTAAGTAGTTGCCACTTACAAATTATCTTGATAAAATGGAACCCCATGGACCTCCTCTCCCATTAAAACAGTTAATAATGTCCAATGTATATTAAAACGTGGCTTTTTAATGATTGAAACCCACTATACAAGACACATTTAGAGAAGGGGTGATTATCCCCACTGCTCTGCCATTTAACAGCTCAATTTGGCCTGCTCTTAAAGTTGGGAAGAATGAATGGTGCCTCATGGTGGATTACCTCAAGCTTCATGCTGTGGGTCTCATTAATGTCCCAGTGGTCAGTATTATTGCAGTTACTGACTTCATCCAATCAGCAACTGGTAAATATTTTGCCATTATAGATTTGGTGAATATGTTTTGTTTAGTGACTATTTCTACAGCCTCTTTAGTTTAGTTTTGTTTTGTTTTTTTTTTTAAGATGTACTTACTTTAGAAAGAGAGCAAGCGGGGGGCTTGGGGGAAGGGGCAGAGAGAGAGGTAGAGGGAAACCCAAGCAGACTCCGTAGCTGGGAGTGGAGCCTGACATGGGGCTTGATCTCACGATCCTGAGATCATGACCTGCGCCAAAACCAGGAGCTGGATGCTTAACCAACTATGTCATCCAGGTGCCCCTTGAGTGCAGACTACTTCACCTCCAAAGTATGACACCCTTCTCCCCAGCTACCATGGGGAGCCTCAACAGCCTTGTGATCACACACAGTCTTTAAGGGCAAGATCTTAACTATATCCTGCTTTCAGTAGGAAGACAAGTATGACATTACATTGGTGACTTTGTCCCCTGAGGAGATTTATTTGACCTGCTCATTCAGAAGCTCACAAGAAAATGGGCCCCTGCCTCATACTTAGTGTAAGGTCCTGTAACCTTGGTTAAAGTCTTGAAAATTAAATGGTGAACAGAGGGCTGCTCTACTCATGATGCTTCAGGAAACAGCTTTTGAGTCTCTCAGACCCACAACATCTTTTAGGCTTTTTTGGGTTCTAGAGGAAACACATCTCTCTTTTATGTATTGTACTTAAGTCCTTTTATGCTGTTACTTACAAACTGGCTCTCCTTGAGTGGGGGTCCCTTTTTTAATAAAAGGCTCTAGAATGCATCCAAATTTGCAAATTTGCTGACACTCCTGTTAATGACCCCTAGAGACTCCTTTACTGTAAAGGTTTTGGCAACTTTCTGTCAGCATCAGAATACCATTTATATAAACATAATAACTTTAAAATGGTAAAAGCGCAAATATTTGAATTTTGCTAAAATTAAACTTTTGGCCTTTCAAAGAAACTTTTAAAAAATGAAAAGGAAAGCCGCTAACTGGGAGCAA